TGATGTGCGTGGTAACGGTGGACTATTTCTCTTATGATCCGACGGTAGTATGGACAATGGTGCACATTTGGGATTGGTGTGTGAGCATCGACTGTGCTATTGGACGACCATGGTACCAGTTTTAGCGGCAACGGCGAGCGGTGATTCCGCTGTTATTTTTTTTAGGTGTGCAGCGATTGTGGCGAATTTCAGCATGATGTAGAGATTGGGTAGTGCTGGTGCACGATTGGGTCTATGCCGAAGTGGTGCGTGGACCGATGTCATGAAGAGAGTGAGGAATGAGTGCTCGCGACAGTGACTATTGGAGTTGCGACACTTGCGGTTTGCGTTGGAAGGACATTTTTTGGGGGGGGTCGCGACACATGCGGTTTTCAGCCAGGGTCACCTTTATTTTTTTTTGTGGCATGTAGGACGAGGGTTATTGAGTTATGGACTATTTGATATTGTCGGCGATGGTGTGGGACTACCCAGGATTACTTGAGACCATCTTGGGACCCAGTGGGACCAACTTGGGTTGCGGACGCAGTGATTGGCGGTGACATGAACTTGTGTTTGGTTGGGGAAGTGTCCTTGGAGGACGTGGTGCAAGGGGACTGTGTTGAGACAATTTGGGACGTTGGGACCCTCAACACGATACGATGTTGAATTTTCTTCAAGTCGGTTATACCCCCGTTAGACAAAACCATTGAACTCAGCTTTTGTCAGTTGTCATTATCAAGGAAGTAAAGGGCGGCGTAAAGCTTGAGCCGCTCGACAACGTAAAACTTATTTTGGGAACACCCTCTTGGAGGTCTATGTCGCTTGAGTTTTTTTTTGTGGTCCAACCTTTGTTCTTTTGAACATTTGAGAGAGGACGGGGACCGTGATTCAGGAGAGAGGCCACAACTTGTGGAGTTGTGAGCTACGTATTTTCATATTCTATGACCGTCATTTTCTTTTGATTGAAGTATTACTTGACTTTCTTGAGTGAGTCGGATCAAACTTCTCTCAACGTCAGTCAGTTGATTGACTCAGGCTTTCCTTCACACATGTGTAAACCCACACTTGCTTGACCCAGTTCATTGAATGCTCATTGAAAAAGCAAAGAAAATGTGTGTTTGTATGTGAATGGTGAGGTCTGACTTGAGTATGAGATTGTACTGTTTTCTTTTGAACTTGTTGCTTGGCTTGCTGTGGAGGTAGGTAGAAGAATGTTGTAAAGGACAAGTTTGATGGTGTCTACTCGAGAAGGTGAAAAATATTGTCTTTTTTTCACCTTCCAACCATCTGAAAAATATTAATTCATTGTGTGTCGTAAAATGAATGCGAATGAATAAAACAGATAAGGTCAAATGGACTTAGTATTTTCCTATGATTGACTATTTCTATCCACAAACGGTTATCGAGTAGCTAAAAATTTAGGAATGAAAATTCCGAAGTGAGAGTTTTTGGCAGTCCGAAAGCCCTGAATATTCCTGAAGTGGTGAAAGGTCCAAAAATCCTGAAGACCACCTGTTTAGGCAGGCTGCATTCTGAAGTGGTGAAGGGTGTCCTGAAGTGGTCAAGTGAGAATTTTAGGCAGTCTAAAAATCCTGAATGGTCCTGAAGTGGTGAAAGGTCCGAAGACCATGAAAACCACCCTTCACCACTTCAGGATGCAGCCTACCTAAACATGTGGTTTTCAGGGTCTTCGGAGCTTTCACCACTTTAAGACCATTCAGGATTTTCAGACATGAATGGCCCTGAAGTGGTGAAAGGTCCCAAGACCCTGAAAACCATATGTTTAGGCAGGCTGGTTGTATCCTGGAGTGGTGAAGGGAGTCCTGAAGTGGTGATGAAAAATACGACTGTTATTAACCTTCTCTCTTTCTATCCCGAATGACCTCATCTGTCTATACCCGTCCAAATGATTCTCATTCTCTATCTCCTTATGTTTTTCTTTGCCAAAGTTGCCCTGAACGTAGGAATGAGAATAAATGAAAGTTACTCGCAATGGATATATTATATGTCTCTAGGGATCATCTGGGGCGGGGGTTCGTTGCTTTAGAAGTCGACCCTGTTATTGACCCAGAGTGGACCGTTCTACGAGGAGGTACTCTGCCGATTCGGTGGAGACGGCCCGACTTCTGAGATCCGAGCTTTGTTCTCGGGCAAGAAGGAGGAGTACCCCATACCATTTCCTAGAGGGGGAGATATGCAACACTTCAAGTAATTCATCTGTTTAAGAATTATCCGCAAAGCAGTTTGTCATTAAAAAAAATGGGAATGTGTGAAGATAGATGTGCGTGTCTAATTTTAGGTCAACGATAGGTTGGAATGAATGACTTTGGCAACACGTCTTCTCAAGTTAAAACTAAGGCAGCCGATTACGTTGTCGGCTGCATCAATGTTATTGTCAATAACCAACTCCTTGTTGTCGGTTGTATGATTGTTTTGTGGAGTTCGACCTGGGGTGGTCGGATTTTATTTTTATTTTGTATTATTGGAAGTATCTAATGATGATTTTGATTCTTTCAGTTATCATTTCATATTGAATATTTATCCTTGTCGACCACGATCGATTCTTTTGATGTAACAATATATGGTTATTATAATTTTCTTTTGACTGTGTATCTAAAGGGACTAGGATTAATATTTGTGGTTTTCATGCTTGGTTGAGACCGTCCTAGTCGACCGACGTCTGCTTCATACTTAGGAGATCAGCGCCCTAAGAGACGAACGAGGTTCGAGTCCGATTGACGTTTAACCAAACGTATCTATACTACAACGAATGAGCAAACGCCATCGGCTGATCTACCTTTGTGATTGCATCTGAAAACTTTTGCGTGTGGGTCAATAGGTCGGTAGGGATATGCCCCTAAGGGTGGTGACAACCCCTTAGGGAAGGAAAACTTACGCCCCGCGGGAACCTATCCTGTCGTAGGGGATCGTGGGATGTATAGCTCGCGCACCCGGCTAGAGCGACAAAGGGAAGACGAGACCACGTCCGCATTGGCGGTTCACGGAGTTATTTTGCGTTGTTCCCATGTTGTCTCTTGGTTTTGTTTTGTTTAACTTCTGCGTGACATGGCCGGGAGGGCTCCCGCAGTTTGCAAAAAAACGGGAACCGATGCACTCGACAACAGTGGGGTCTCCTTGGGAGTAGGCACATATTAGTGGAAGTGGTTCTCCCTGAATCACGAGGAGGTGGGTGGGTTTGCGAGGTCTTCGACCCATGAAGTGCAGGAGGTAGGGTGTTACTGTTGGGATGATGAATCAGGGTTAGGTATTCATTTCGTCTTAACATGCTTCATGTTCCAAGGTCATTTGTAATGCTAGAGATGACATTGTGAGCATCGCTTTGCAGGGTCCTCATCATGGTGGGCAGGGAGGCATCTGTTAGGGAGTAGGTGCAAATTGCAGGAGAGGCTTACCGTAAATCGCGAGGAGGTGGGTGGTTTTGTGAAGTCTTTGGCCCCTGCTGCATGGGAAGTAGGGTAATCCCCTGGATAGCAAAAACAACATCGTGGTGGGGAGGTGCTATCTGCTCTGAATCACGAGGAGGTGGGTGGATATTGCAAGGTCTTTGCCGACAGTTGGGGGCATGTGGGCACAAACCCTTGCTGTGCGGGTGGCAGGGCGGTTTGGCAGGGGTTGGTGGTAAATTTGGATGAGTTTACCATGTAGTGCTGGTTGTTTCTTTTTTCTTTGTGACTGCCTTTTGACATGGGGTTTGTGGTGTGCGGTGGTCTGGTTTTTGGGCTTGGCCTGGACCGCATAATTTATGTGAGGGACGTCAGGCCCGATTCCTTGCATCGCAATATATGGGACGCCGGGCCCAGTTCCCGACTTAATATATATATGTATATATATCGTCACAAACAGAACTGCCCGGTAAACCGTAGGCATATATATATATATATATATATATATATATATCGTCACAATACATATATATATCGTCACAAACAGAACATATATATGTATATATATATATATATATATATATATATATATAAATTTGAGAGAAAAATGTAGTGTAAAAAAGGAATGAAAAACAGTTGTTCAGTTTTGTTTTTTTCACCCCCCTGCATAAACTAGTTTTTTTTTTTCTTTTTTCCCCCTGGTCCTTGCACGGCCGCCCCGTCGGGGCAAACACGGTGACCCGGGCTCGGTGGGTGATCTAGGTCAGTCCTATTGGGCCTCGCCGCACCGATCACCGAGTCTGGAAAATAAAGCGAACGCGAATGTGTCTCCTGCCAGCCGGACATGGGAAAGACAACCAAGGGCCTCGTTCCACACCACTTGAAACTGAAGGGTTTCTTACCCGACACCATCCCACGGTGCCCTTGAGTTTCCTAATCACGGCCCGGCAGTGATTAGGCTTTCGGGTTTAGCAAACGGGTGGGAAAAGCTCAAGAGCGAAAAGCTCAAGGGTGGCTCCAGCTCAAGGGCGGCTCCAGTGCAGCCCAGGCAAACCTGCCCGTTTTTCAAGTCACCCCTCTGGGCACACTGGAGCTGCACTTGAAAACGGCGCTGCAGGTCCGTGTAGAACCTCCTGATCGTTCCCCCCGGTTTATTCTCCTTTTTCTAATGCCATTGTCCTGGTTGAACCTCTCGCGAGCTGCTCCATCAAGGGCGGACTGGAGGGTTGAGTGGAACCAAACGTGACTCAGGTATTTTTCAATCACGATTGGAACTGGGGGGTTGAGTGGAACCAAACGTGACTCAGGTATTTTCTAATCACGATTGGAACTCGAGTGCGCACTCGAGTTTCAAGTGAAGTGAAGTGAAGTGGGGTGTGGAACGAGGCCCCAAGTCAAGAAAAAGGAACCCGCCAAGTCAAGAAAAAGGAGCCGGAAAAAAGAAAAAGAAGCGAGAAGGAACTCTGGCCTTCCATCCAGAATGGATGGAACACACAGACAAAAAAAAAGAGGTAACACAAAAACGAAAGTCGTGCGCGGGGAAATTTCGGATCCCCGATTGCTCTCTCTGCGGGGGCCGGGCCGTGCCGCGCCGCGCCGTGCCGCGCCCAAAGCAGCACGACGGACTCTTCCTTCTCTCCGGCTTTCGGCTTGGGCGCCAGTTTCACAAAGCGTCACCCCGATTCTGAAAAAAAAGAGCGGGGACTTCGGAAGGCGTGGTTGGCCTCGTTCGCTGTCCATGACACTGTGAATCCTCTCCACAGCCCCGGCGTTGTCCCCGCTCCTCGGAAATCTGTGTATGCAAGGTTAGTCATCCCTATGCTTTATTCCCCGATTCCATCTCTCTCTCTCTCTCTCTCTCTCTCTCTCTCTCTCTCTCTCTCTCTCTCTCTCTCTCTCTCTCTCTCTCTCTCTCTCACNTCTCTCTCTCTCTCTCTCTCTCTCTCTCTCTCTCTCTCTCTCTCTCTCTCTCTCTCTCGCTGTCCCTCTCTCTCTCTCATGCACTCTCTCGTCTCCCCCTTCGGTCCTTCCGTGCAGTCCTCTCGTCTTCCCCCCCCCTCGTTCCCTCCTCTCCCTTTCTTCTTTCATGCCCTGCCCCCCTCCATCTCTCTGTCTGTTGTCTGTTGTCTGTTGTCTGTCTCTCTTCTCTCTCTCTCTCTCTCTCTCTCTCTCTTCCTCCCTCTCTCTCTCGCGGGCTGTCTTCACGCCCTCCTGCATCTGTCTGTCTGTCTGTCTGTCTGTCTGTCTGTCTGTCTGTCTGTCTCTGTCTGTCTGTCTGTCTGTCTGTCTCTCTCTCTCTCTCTCTCTCTTCCTCCCTCTCTCTCTCGCTGGCTGTCTTAACGGTATCTTCATGGTGTGGATGGTTGTGAGTCTGGTGGCTCATGGTGCCACGTGTTGATTCGTCGGGTAAGGTGAGTGAGAATGACACGTGTCAATTCGTTAGGTATAGTTATTGGGACAAACTGCCTGGAGGTACTAGACCATGGCGTCTGTGGGATAGCTCGCGTGCGGGAGTAGTTGAAGGCACCCGTCTTCCCATGAACACAACGCGACCTCATCATGAATGCATACGAGCTATGTTTCCTCTCAGATACATCGCGGCGAGGGTGCCTTGTGTTTGGCCGAAAACGCTAGTGTATGAGGGAGATATGAAGCGCTTGGACGTATCCAGAGGAGCCAGGGAGGAGGGGGGGAAAGATTGAGGGCTACTTTAGTGCATGAGAGATACAGGCAGTGGTTTCACGCACGCGGATGTGCAAGGCACGTATATACACATGTATATATGCATATGTTATGTATATATATACATATGTATATAAGTATATGTAGATATACACATCAGCCTCCTGATGAGTCAGTGGGTGAAACTCCGACGAAACAGTTTGTCACAGCCCCTCGTTTGTTGTCCTCTTCTCCTCTTCTCCCTCCCTCTCTGCCTACGGTTTACTGTAGGCAGCTCTGTTTGACTATACACATATACACAGCCGCCGCTCAACCTACATCCACGTGGGCGGCCTTGTACGCAAGAGGTTCTGAACAGGGGGAGTTGTAAGGAAGAAGATTAAAAGACGAATTTTTGTCCTTGTTTTCTTTCTGTTTTTTTCGCTTTGCGCTCTGATAACTCTGTGACGATATATATATATGTATTCAATCGTTTCTCGGTTTCACGGCTATTAGGCGGCTAATGACTTCACCGGAATAGGACGCCCGGTCAGCATGCTTGTACGTCTGCAACTCTCAGTCCAGATACAGCGATAATGACCGTACTTTCTGTTCGGGGGCAGACGGTAGCTATGGAACGAGTCGATACGGGGTTTTCTGAGTGAGAGAGATAAATGCATGTGGTAGGGGCTACCATGAGAGAGAGAGAGAGAGAGAGAGAGAGAGAGAGAGAGAGAGAGAGAGAGAGAGAGAGAGAGAGAGAGAGATGCCAGCCTTCTAGTGTGAGCATGCTCTCTCAATCTCTCTCATTCTCTCATTCTCTCTGTGTCTCTCGCTCTGTCTCACTCTCTCTCAATCTATCTCTTAACATCTGTCAATCGCTCTCTCCGCCACTCGCGCGTCTTTGTCTCTCTATTTCTCTCTTTCTCGCCCAGAAGAGGGCAGCATATTTTATGGCCGGCGTATGAATGGCGACCCTAATCCAGGCTGCGCAATTACGATGTCCACCGGTTTAATCTGGCAAGCATTGTCGGATGATGTTTTTCCACTTTTTGATTTTTATTTCGTTCATTGATCCAATTATTTTATTCTTGGTATTGGCAGTTCACTTTGTGTCTGTAGAGATAGATAGATAGATAGATAGATAGATAGATAGAGAGAGAGAGACACACACACACACTTGCAATATTGGACCCCTTCTACCTCTCTGCTCAGGAGAGAGAGAGAGAGAGAGAGAGAGAGAGAGAGAGAGAGAGAGAGAGAGAGAGAGAGANAGAGAGAGAGAGAGAGAGAGAGAGAGAGAGAGAGAGAGAGAGAGAGAGACACACACACACACTTGCAATAATGGACAAACCGTGCGAGGCTTTATTTTCACAGAATACACGTCCTGTCCATGGCATGCGACAAAAAACGTCGCGATTACCCTTGTACCTCTCTGCTCAGCAGAGAGAGAGAGAGAGAGAGAGAGAGAGAGAGAGAGAGAGAGAGACGCGGATCGTATGGTCTGGCTGTGGTATTTCTAAAGCAGAGGGGTGGTTTTCCCTCTCCCCCCTCTTCCGGGAAGTAGTATGAGCGCGAACGTTTTTTCTGTCCGGCGGGAAACACGTTCATCGTTTTCAAGTATCCGGTCTAACTGTCGAAGTCGGTTCACTCATCGTCTCGTTCGGACTGGCGACTCCTTTCAATCAACAACCCCCGAAGATCTATCTATCTTCTCTCGTCGTCTCGTTTGTATATTATCGATCCAACGGCAACCGATGGTCCTCCTCCTATTTGCTCCTTTGGGCATTTACAGTAACTTTGACATTCGATTTTGGCGGGAAAATCAATCTCGGCGTTTTAAAAACCGAAATCGTCCGCAGTCCTATACGATTTCGGTTTCCAAGACGTGAAAATTGCGGCCAGGAACATTGAACATGAAGATCAAGTTCGGACATCAATACTGGCGGGAACATCAATACTGGCGGGAACATCAATACTGGCGGGAACATCAATACTGGCGGGAACATGAAGATGAAGTCGCTAAGCCGTGCGATTTCGGTTTCGAAGACGTCGAAATTGCGGCCAGGAACATTGAACATACGAAATTGTTTGGACAACGTTTTTTATTTTTTTCTTTGTTTTTTTTTCGGCTATTTAAAGAGGTAATTTCCGGCGACAGATAGAATTCTCGTAATCAAGTGCGCTCACCAGAAATTAAATTTATTTCCGCCCAAAAGCGAGAAGATTCCTACTCCATCCATCCCAATGTGGTTCTGTTCTCAACCAATATAGGTGTCTCTTTGTGCTGTGGAATGTTTCCACTGTCTGTCTGAAGGAAAAGGGCGGGAAACACGTGGATAGTGAAGAAGAAGAGCGGGAAACACGTGGATAGTGAAGAAGAAGAGCGGGAAACACGGTGATGCAGAGGAAGAAGGGAGGGAAGCACGGTGATACTGCAGAAGATGGGCGGGAAACGGGTTGATGATGAAGAAGAAGGGAAGAAGATGGGTGGGAAACTCGTTGATACTGAAGAAGAAGGGCGGGAAACACGTTGATACTGAAGAAGAAGGCGGGAAACACGCTGATACTGAAGAAGAAGGCGGGAAACACGTTGATACTGAAGAAGAAGGCGGGAAACACGTTATACTGAAGAAGAATGCGGGAAACACGTTGATACTGAAGAAGGGCGGGAAACACGTGTGTACTGAAAGACAAGGGGCGGAGAAGGTGGGGGGGGCGGGGGGGGGGAGTCGGTTGTACTGAAGAATAAGGGAGTGAGAAACACGTTGATGCTAACTAAGGAGGGCGGGAAACACCACTGATATTGAGGAAGAAGGGCGGGAAACACCGCTGATACTGAGGAAAAAGAGCGGGAAACGCCGCTGATACTGAGGAAGAAGGGCGGGTAATACGACTTTCCGTGTGTTCGGTTACTGGCGGGAAGGTGGTCTCTTGCCTTGCGTGACGTATGGCGGGAAAACCCTGTGAGTGCATGGCAGAAAGCCCGCCACCCAAAGGGAAAAAAACAACAACAACAAGAAACAAGAAGAGAAGCCCGCCGCCACCTCTTGATCTCACGCGGAACGTTTCTAAAGTCGTCCTTTCGGCTCTCACCCAATCTCTCTCTCTCTTTCTCTCTCTCTCCGTCCCCGTGTCTCTCGCTCTCTCTCTCTCTCCCCATCCCCGTCTTTCTCTCTCTCTTCACCTTCCTGCGTATCTCTCTCTCTCTCTCCCTTCCCCAGTTCTTCCCCCAACCCTCCATCTTTCTCTCCAGATCTTCTTTTTCCTCCCCCCCCACGATCCGAACTAAGTTTAAATGCGTGCTCTCCCTGGCATTATTCTGCTCATATGAATTGTCGAAGTTGTTTCTGACCTTCGCGCGTCTATGTTCAGTCAATGAAGTCGTAGCGAGTCTCTCTGCCTTAACGCGCCAATGACGTTCGTTACTGCGCATATGAATTGTCGAAGGATGCCCTCAAATTTATTCACTCCCTTTCACATTCTCCCATGCTCTTCAAAAGGACATGTTCTGGAAGTAATTTTGAGAGAGAGAGAGAGAGATGCTTGAAGTGACAGGCGGCAGAGAGGAAGGCAGTGATTGAGGAGGACGCACTCAACTTCAGTTCTCTCATGGCCTCGCTCCAATGCATCTATACGCTGCCATGATCCACATTCATCCGAATCGAAAGAAAGACATTTGAATGCAAGCTTACATAAGCAGATACATCTAGAATGCTGGAGAGTTGAGCGAGGCCCCTTAGTTTCCGCTGGGTAATGTGGCTGGAAGACGCTTTGTCCGACCTCTTGTGTCTGCGATGAGATAGTTGCACTATACTATCCTGTACTATGTCGACTATCCTGTACTATTGACATTCTCCCATGCTCTTCAAAAGGACATTTTCTGGAGGTAAGTAAATTTGAGGGAGAGAGGAGATAGTCGTATACTATACATTCTAATCCTGTACTATGTCGCCTATCCTGTACTACGTCGACTATCCTGTACTATTGTCGACTCTCCTGTACTATGTCGACTCGTTCACTTGTCCGACCTCTTGTCTATACTATCCTGCACTATAGTGCACAAAAGTGGACGAGTACAGATAGTACAGGATAGCTGTACTATCCTATCCTGTACTATTGTCGACTCTCCTGTACTATGTCG